AGTGGAGAAACTGCATTGAAGGTTCAACAGCTGTTGTGAATTTGGCCGGAACGCCCATTAGTACTAGATGGTCATCTGAGGTATTAGGACGACTTTCTTTTCTCGTTTCAATTTGTTTGTCTTACTTTCCTTTTTATACATCCTATGCATTAGTATTACTTTATATCTTCTATGTGACGAATGATCAGTCGTTCATTCATGTATCAACTTTTCAATGTAATGCTGCAGATCAAGAAGGATATCAAGCAAAGCAGGATTAGAGTAACCTCCAAGGTCTCCCTCATAGCATAGTGAAAGACGCGAATTCATTGTAAGAATTTATCTATAACAACAAATGATATGAGCAAGAATCTGAGAAACGTCGATTGATCCTGCAGGTTGTAGAGTTAATCAATAATTCAAAGGATGATGCCCGTCCCAAAGTTTTAATAAGTGCAACAGCAGTTGGTTATTATGGTACGGGTGACCAAATTCATGTTTTGCTTTATTTCTCTGTTCCTATGTTATGCATCATTATTTAGCTTCCTAAGAACTTCCATACCACGTTGTTAAAGGCTTTCAATTGCATATCCTCATATTGCGATAATCTCATTTCTGGTAAAAGCTTCAGTAAAGTTGAGCCACGCCATCTGATAAATCCACTTACTTCCTTACTTAGGAACCAGTGAGACTCAAGTGTTTGATGAGAAAAGTCCATCGGGAAATGACTACTTGGCTGAGGTAAATATAACAGTTGCATACATATAGAACATGTTATATGTTTTTAATCTTCATGTTTGATTTCTTTGCATCATGATTTCTTTCAGGTTTGTAGAGAATGGGAGGCAGCTGCTCTCAAAGTCAATAAGGATGTTAGGCTTGCTCTAATTCGTATTGGCGTTGTCCTTGGAAAAGATGGTGGTGCTTTAGGTAGTATGCTTTCTTTCTTTTCCTATCAATAACAACTTTAATAGCCTGTTTTGCCTAGCTTTTGGATTATGATGTTTAGCGTCAAAACACCTTTTTTTGTTTTCCCACTCAGTTAAATGCAAATTCAACTGTGACGGAACATGGCATATCTTTAATATTTTGATGCTTAACTTTGTTAAAATCTTCCGATTTCCTTTCTGCAGCTAAAATGATTCCTCTCTTCATGATGTTTGCTGGTGGACCTTTGGGCTCTGGAAAGCAATGGTACTGCCCTTCAATTTTTGTCCTTGTTATAAGTATTTCCCGTTACTATGGATCAGAGATATGTTATCTGTATTCGTCTGTTTGAATTTTAGTCCTAAGATTACCGAGGACATGACCTTAGATAGAAGGGTCTGGAGGTCAAGGATTAGGATAGAAGGTTAGTTGGTAGTTGAGCATTCTCTTGCTTTCCTGCGGGATAGGCTCGGTGGTTGTACTTAGACCTCCTTTCTTATGGGTTGTATTAGTACTATTCAGTGTTTTTTTTGTGCTTCGATTATTGCATTATTTTATTGTCATATTGTTCATTCCTCTGTATGTTGTGTACAGCCCTTCATTTCACATTATTTCGTTATTTCGTTGTTGTTACTGCTCTTATGTTTGTATTCCCTTTTTCAAACTGCTTGGATATGCTTTACTTCAAGACGAGGATCTATTGGAAACAACCTCTCTATCTCTACGAGGTAGGGGTAAGGTCTACGTACATTCTATCCTCCGCAGACTCCACTTGTGGGATTACACTGAGTATGTTGTTGTTGATTTTCCCATTCTCACTTGGTAGATTCTACTGGCTTCAATTCACAGGTTTTCTTGGATTCATCTCGATGACCTCGTGGATTTGATGTACGAAGCTTTATCCAATCCATCCTACAAAGGTAAAATCATTGTCAGGCATCTATACTATGGAATTCGATCATATACATTGAGTTCCTAGACCATTTGTATTTTTGTCTGAACGGTATAGTTGATGACAAGCAGAGTAACAATAAACGAAATTCTCTGAATACCATGTAATGAATTCATGTAGTCAACATAACGTAGTCGTGCAATGGCAGGGGTGATAAATGGAACAGCACCGAATCCTGTACGTCTGGGAGAAATGTGTGAACAACTAGGATCCACGTTAGGAAGACCTTCGTGGCTACCAGTACCAGAAATTGCACTGAAAGCTGTCCTTGGAGAGGGTGCATCAGTGGTATGATATTCATAACCTCAACTTATTAGTACTTATTTGTCTGTATTGATCGGAAACAGTCTCTCTACCTCTCAAGGCAGAGGTAAGGTCTGCGTACACTCTACTCTCCCCAGACTCTTGTTGTTGATATTGCTAGAGTAATGTGTATTTCAGGTGTTGGACGGACAAAAGGTGGTTCCAACGAAGGCTAAGGAGTTGGGTTTTTCGTTCAAATACCGATATATCAAAGACGCGTTGAAAGCAATCATGTCATGAGACTCATCAACCATCAACCCATATTCATTTCAATGGCCTGGAAATGGAACGAAAACACGAATAATTTCTTCTTCTTCTTCTTCTTGTCTAGGCATATGAGTTTTTTTCCTTATTTTTGATGAGCCAAAATTCAATTTATAAACATCATGTCAGTGTCAAAAGTATGTGTCTAGTTATGTTTTTACTTAAACCGAGGGTCTTATCAGAAACAGTCTCTCTACGATTCCTGAGGTGAGTTGATGAGACTGTGTACATATCACTTGCGGATTTCACAAAATATGTTATTATATGGATGAACTTTTTACGAGCCTCGAGGTGAGTTGATGTTGAAAGTTGCATGTGTATTTGCATTCAGATTATGAACCCAATAGTATGAATTTACAATTGTTTAGTCCAATTAGCATCAAATAGGTTAACTAGAAGTGGCAAATGGACGGGTTGAAAATGAGCCCATATTTAATACGGGTTAAAATAGGTTAAATGATGGGTACTCATACTTTGCGTAAATTTGCGATTTGCATCTTAACTAGAAAAGTCCAATCAAGACATAAAATAGACCTTGACAGGGGTTTGATACACGGGATAAGGTGAAATATCTAAATATTAAATTTGAGATTAAATTTTATTTTTTATTTTATTGACGACATGAATTTATATTCTTATACAATCAATCAAACATAGTGTAAATTCAATCTCAAATTTAATCCTGAATATTCATCTTATCCCATCAAACCTAAAATTGTTTTATCTTCCCTTCCAGATAAATTAATTCAAAACTTATAATTCAAAAACGATAATCCCAAGATAATTTTATTTACATACCAAACAACCCCTAAGCTTGTTATTGGGTTAGAGTAACCCATATTTCACACATTTTGTAACACCTTGTAATTTCATTAAATAAGATTGCGTATACATCATCTCTCCAAACTCGATTTATGAGATTACATTGTGTATATTATGTTGTTATTGTATTTATTTTTTATTTTAAAAAAACTTCTAATTAGTGATTGGTTATCAGAGTTGAAGGAACTGACATGTCATTAATATTTGGTTCTCTTTTTTCTTGAAACTTTGTGAAGAATAATAAGTGAGGGGTTCAGAAAAAGAGAGCACTTTTTTTTCACAGTAAGACTTGTTCAAATTAATTGTTTAAATAAATGCATATAATTAATTATTAATTAATATAATTATTTCCTTTGGTTATTATCTTCTTCCAAGAAAAATAATAAACATGTTTTTATAATAAATAAAATAATTTAAGAAACCATTTTCATTAACCACTTGAATAACATTACGTGTGATCTAATGACTTCTAAGATCATAACAACTTTTTTAAAAAAAAAATAGAGATAAATAACTAGTTACTATAATCAATTGAAATTTATAAATATTATAATAATAACATATTCAGTTTAATCCTATATCGAGAGGTAGAAAATTTGGTCTCGAAAGACCACGAGTAACGCATGTCAAAACACTATTAAAAGGAAATAAAATACATGAGTCGTAGCAACCAGATGCGGAGCCAGGATAAGGAGAATAAAATACTACGAACCCACAATTCTAGTGTGGAAAGCTTTTTTGCAACCCCTTCATTACCACTGAGCGGTACATAATTTATTTATTTATATATACAAATACAAGATCTACCGAAAAAGCTATTACTAGGTTCATCCAAACCCCGAACCCCCACTTAGCTCCGCCCCTACTAGCAACAACTAAATAATGTGATAATCAAAGCTAAAAAAAACATCAAATAATAGAAATTGAATGACAAGAAACTGTAAAATGAGTACTAAGGCTATTGGTATGCAAGGAGAAACATGTCTAACGTGTCTAATGCACTAACCTTATCACACAATAAAACGAGACAACACTCAACTACCTACTAACCTTATGTCATAATCCTCAACCTCCATATATATCCGTCAATATTTTTTTATGACAGTTAGTCAGTTTGTGTAACTATAAAAAAAAAAAAAAGAACCATCCATCATAATTTGGCCAATCGATATCATTTCTGACAGTTTTTTTTTTTTTTTTACATTATTGCATATCTCTATTATTTCATCATGTAGTCATTTTCCACCAATATATATACCAAAAAATTCCACCAACCAAAATCTAAATAAAAAAAAACAAATCATCTTTTATTTTTATTTATTAATAAGTCAATATTATAAAGTTAATTCCGTGATCTAATATGTACCTCAAAAAATTTAAATTTAATATTAATATGTGGCTATGCACGTAGAGAGATAATAAAATAACGTGCCGCTCCAAACGGGGCATTATACAAAAAACCATAACTGCAATTTCTATGATGTTTAACAATTTTCATTAAACTTAATTTCCTATTATACCCTTTTCTTTTATTGTCCTATTTATAAACCATGAGGGTAAAATAGTCATTATACATAAAACAAAATTCCATCAGTCACACACATATATAAATATATTTTCATGGCTATTCAAGATTCATATTTCTCCATCATCAAAAAAAAAAAAATCACAAGTTCCATGATTAATATATTAAAAAAACCATCTTTTTCATAAGCTTTTTTGCCCCATTTTAATTTTATTTTTTTTAAGGTTTAGTATTAAAAAAATAGAAACTTTATTTGGTGCCCCATTTGCTTAGTACATAATCAAATCTGTCTTTACTGTTGCTGGTAAGTTTTCTTTGTTTATAATATAATGTAAAGACTTGATTTTTATTACTTAGTATGGTGTATTATTATGTAAATCTGTGTTCCATGCATGGTGGAGAACTGTGTTTTGATGTTGAAATCTTTAAAGGTGGGATTTTTATGTGTTGTTTGTTCTCCAGAAGCATTTTTTATTTGTGGGGTTGGGGTGGTTAGGGGTGGGGTGAGGTGGGGTGGAGTGGGGTTGGGGTTGGGGGGTAATGTCCCACCATCCTGTTTTTTGCTTAGGCCATAAATCTTTACTTCTGGGAAGTGTGTCAGGAGAAAAGAGGAATAGAGAACTTTGGACTTTGTTAAACATGCAGATAATAGCAGAAATCTTTAGAATGTCAGCAAAAGATTATATAGCTTATGTAGATAATAGACCTAGAGAGGGATTCTTGATGTATTGTAACTGGGATCTTTATGACCTGAGCCTAAAAGGGCTAAAAGGGTGTCTGATTTTTTCATTTTGTTGTAATAAAAATCTCAGCTTTTTGGGTTTTTTTTGAGTTTTGATAGGTTTTCTTGATTCCTATATTTGGTACTCTGGGAGAATTCATGGCTGTGACAGCTATGGTGTACTATATATGCTTTTCTTGGGGTTTGGGTATTTTGTTATGGTACTTGGAGTTACTTCACATAAGGGGTTGTTGTTGTTACACAGTTCTTCCAGTGGCATTTTCATGGTGATACAGATACTCAGTTCTCTTTTCTCTGCTTCTGTATGTATTTTCTTTCTTTGTATATCTATCTGTCTATCTATCACTTTCTTTTTGCTTTCTGGTTTCTGATTTTGTCTGTTTGTTATGATCATTTTGTATCTATTTTCAATTTTTGGACTGTGTATAATTACCATTGGTTTCTGTTTTCGGACTCATTAGTCTCATTTTCTGGAAATTTCTGATGATGCTCTTTTGTCTGTTTTCTATCACTAACATTTTACATGTTTAAGTTCACCTTGAAAATTGAGCTTTGTTTTGTTTTGTGATTTTGGTGCTATTTATAGCTGTGTTGATTTGTATTTCTGTAGTCTGCAGCTTAGAGATTCTTGAGAAAACAAGGATTGGAGTGATTAGTGATTCTTGAAACATGTTATGAGAAGTTGAAAATGGCATCATCTTCTGCTGAAAATAGTCCAGTGCCACTCAGAGTAGCACCCCCAAATTATCATCCATATCCACCTCCCTTGGTTACATATGAGAATGTTGTTGCCTCTCCTCAACTGTTCATGGAAACTTTGCAGAAGCTCCATGCTGACATGAGAACCAAGTTCATGTGAGTTCTTTCTTTTCTTTTTTGCTTCCCTATGTCCTTTTATGAGTTTCTTTCTATCAGTTTGCATGCACCTCGACTACTTCACCGACTTGATAGCTTTGCCCACCTAGGTATTTTCCCTGTATTGGGATTTGAATTTAGTTGCCCATGGTTTTCACCTACTTCGTTAACTACTAGGTCATGCCTGAATCCCATCTCTATATCCTGTCACAAGGCGTACCTCCCTCCTTTATGTTGAATTTGATCAAGAAATGCTGTCTTTCTTAGTATATGGTTTTCTCCTTAGATGGTCAATTCTCACCTCATGAGCTAGGTTTTGTGCGTTGAGTTAGGCACAAGATCCTTTTTCCGAAAGCAACAATTATTTGAGAAGATTTTTAGGCAGTTTTAATGAGAATTTCATTGATTAATAGCAACCACCAACATTTTCGTTATTTGATTAATCTTTGCTAAAGACTGCTATCCTTATTCCAAATTTGGTCCACCACTCTTTCTTACTTGTTAAGTTTCAAATGTTTTTCAATCTTGAAACTATGCCATAGGCTTCTGAGTTCCCACACATTGTCTCAAGTTTATATAGTTCACACAACTATTTATTAATGCTTCTGTTGGTTGTGCTTTTTTCAGGATCCCTGTTATAGGGGGCAAAGCGCTGGATCTGCATCGCCTCTTTGTCGAGGTAACTACTCGTGGTGGTCTCTCAAAGGTAATAGAACTTGGGCTCATTGTATTCGAACTTTTGGTGCTCTTTCTGTTTTATATCCATGTTATGGTATTCTCTCTTAATTTTTTCTCTAACTAAAAGCATAAGTTGGTATATTGACCTCTGGATTGATGAACTTCATTTGAGTTGGCTTTGCCATAGTAAAGAGCCACAGAAGGCACTATTTTTGTTATGCATCCCCACATGGTTAGGATATACTCCATTCATGTTTAGCTTTCGTGTCTTAAATGCTTCTCCTTATTTTATTACGCTCATGGGTGATGCTCAGCTGGAGTAAAGTCAAGAAACGGGTAAGAATAGAACATCATGCTAATAGGTGGAAGGTGTATGCGTTTTGGCGTAAGGAACCAGAACACTTGGAACTCGGTTTCATTTTCATTTCAGTTGTTTCCCGAGTTGTTCTTTCAAACTCGTTGTAGGATGGGTTTGGAGAATTTTGTGCCCTTACAGTTTGTTGTTTGTTGTTGACAAGTATAGCTCTTAACATGCATAGAAAGGAATGATTGGGTTGAAATTAATGTTGAGTCTGTATAATTATGATTTTTCGAACGTAATTGCAGGTTCTAGGGGAGAAAAGATGGAAGGAAGTAACATTAGTGTTTAGCTTTCCTTCTTCAGCCACAAATGCTTCATTTATTCTTCGGAAATACTATATTTCATTGCTATTTCACTACGAAAGACTCTACTATTTCAAGGCAAAGTACTGGACTCCTTCTCCTGGTATGTGTGGAATCTTTCATTACTTAATTAGTTGTGCTGTGGCTTTCTCACTAAAACATAGATATCTTTCAGACGTGTTGCAGGAAGCCTCCCGTACTGCAGCTCCACCTCAAGGTTTGGCCGGATATATCCTTCCACCACCAGAAATAGAAGCTACCGTGCCCCAGCCGCGGAGGATAGAAACAACATTTCCTGAAGGTTGCTTTCTTGTTCTTGCACATGTTCTATCTCTCTTTTGTCTTTGCTTCCTAACTATGTTGGTTAGAGTTATTCCAAATCTTTATGTCAGTCATTCATTCATATCTTTTGGAAGTCTTCAAATCCATGTATGGAGATATTTTTGATGTCCTTTTCAAGATAAGTGAGGTGATCCTTACGAGGAGAACAAAGAAAATAGGGGATAGGTTCACGCAATTGGTTATCCATTGAGTTTTGAACCGTGGGAGTCTCTAAAACTTTGTATCGACAGATTCACATGATAAAATGATGCTTCTGTTACACGTGAAGTAGTAGAACATGATAAATCTGTACTGCTTAACGGTTAGACTCTGATAATTTCCTACTATAGCTAACAAATAATGTGCATCATCCAATTCTTTTGTGCTTGCAGAAACTACCATACCATCGACAGGTTCACCTGTGTCTGGTTTCATTGACGGAAAGTTTGAGAGTGGATATCTTATTACGGTGAAGATTGGATCCGAGGATCTTAAAGGTGTTCTATATCAGGTTCCAATGAACCAAATGCACCAAGAGTTGCAAAATCAGAATCTACCTGCTTACAACACTCGGAAAGAAGCATCAACACCTGGGGTAGTTCGAAGAAAGCGTAGGAAGAAAAGTGAAATCAAAAAGCGCGACCCTTCCCATCCCAAGCCTAACAGAAGTGGTTATAACTTTTTCTTTGCAGAACAACATGCCCGTCTGAAACCTCTTTATCCTGGAAAGGATAGAGAGATTAGTAGGATGATAGGTGAATTGTGGAACAATCTAAACGTTCCAGAGAAGATGGTAGGAACCAAACGATATATTTCATATCGGAAAAAGGTCCAAAAATTTACTCCTACTATACAAAATATCTTAATTTTACCCAGCTCCGTTATACTTTGAGGCCATTCATGCCCTTGTTGTTATCAAATTGCCTCGTATATACCTCGACTTTAATGGGGTTCTAGCATGGACTAAGGTTGAAACTCCTTTACAGTCGAGGTCAAATATGAAATGATTTGTTGATGGACACTGAGGGTATGAATGGCTCTCTAAAGTATAACGACAATTAAGATATTTCGTATTCTAGGTGGTTATTTATGAGGCCTTCTCCGGTTTAAATATCCCAAGACGTATGAGATTGTTCTTGTTTGTTTCATGCTAACTACTTCCATTGATTATATTCTGTTGAATTCAGGTCTATCAGGAGAGAGCATTGCAAGACAAAGAACGATACAGAATGGAGATGCAGGACTATCGCGAGAGACTAACAGCTGGACAAATTGTTAGCAGTCCACTGCTAATACAATCTCCTCTTGAACACAATGTCGATATGATTGATCAGCAAAGTGAACTTCAAAGTGAAAATGGAAACGTCTCTTGGAGTCCAGAGCACGGAACAAGTTCTGATAAATGTGCACAGAGCAACTCGGAGAACAACAACAACAAAGACACAGACCCTCCAGTATTGGAAATGCAGACAAACAACGTGATCGTTGAGGAATTTGAGTTGCTTAAGAGAGTAGACATGGTCGAATGCGAGGATAAAGAAATGCAGGAAGAAGAAGTTGAAGGTGATAAACAAGAAGAATTACAACACAGCAAGGAAAAAGTTTTTTTCTTCCTAGAAGAAAAAACTTTGTTGCCAACTGAGGGGAAAATATAAACATGGTAAACCTTAAGTTAATTAACTTCCTAGATATTACAACTTATCTTAATTATATAGTGTTTGTTTTGACTTAGTGATAATTATGTTGTTTAGCAGTAGTTTTGGATATAATTTAAGAAGTATGAACCATTTTGATGTATTTCATGGGCATACTTTACAGATTAACTGCCCTTTTGTTCTGCAAGGTTAAAAAAAATATGGGACTTTTAGCACATGAGAATATCTTTCCTTTTTTTTTTGTTTTAACATTTAATACTTTCTCTTTTTTTTGTTTGGTTTTCCATCCGTTGTTTGGTACCTGCATGGGAGCCTGTCTAATTTGGATACGCTCCGCGTAGGGTTCTATCTAGGGAAAGTGCTCCCTACCAAGGATTTTTTTCCATATATACCTGTGGAACATGGAAATGGTTCGTACTTGATGATTTTGTTATCAAAGTTTCATTTGTTTTGTGTTACTCGAACTCTTGATAATGTTGTAAGGTGCGAGTTAGATCTTTCAAAAATGGTGCATTTTCGATGTCTAATACATGTGCAACAACACTTTCGGAGAGTCGAAGTAACATATAATTGAAACATGGTTAGGTTTGGGTTTTTTTATGTACAAACTGCTACATTGAACATCAATTTTTTATTTTTTATTTTTTATTTTCGGTGTTAATCATGTCACATAGTCGATAAATTCATATTTGTGCGTATATTTGAAAGGTTATTCATTTATTTTATTTAAAAATTTATACATATAGACCTACTACGGAAGTGGATAAAACGCTCTAATATATAAAAGATTATTTATTTATTTTTATGACTCTGAAACTGAAACCTCTTAAATTTCTCATTTCATTTGACAATGACCTAATCACTATTAGACTTGCCAAAAATAATGGAGAGCGGTAGCCACTCTTTATAAGCAAAGCAAAAAAAAAAAAAAAAAAAAATGTAGCAAATATTATATAATTTTCACTTTTAACTAAATTTATACATTCTTTTTCAAAATGGCTTTTTCATCGTGATATCATCGTAATAAGGAATTTTAATATTTTTAATGTTAAAAAATAACCGACCAACCAATCATATTTCAGTTTATAGCAACTATATTAATGTTGATGTCATTTGCTTATATATGCAACATTTTCAAGATTTAATTAAAATTCATTTCTTAAAGTTTTATCACAATATCAAATATTTTATTTGGATAATTAAATAGTATTCTTAAAATTGTATAAGTAACCTATAGGTTATGAGTTTCGTAAATTCAACTACTGATGTTTGTGTCAGCATATTTCCTTTTAAGTTGTCTAAGTTCTCACGACTCATTTTATTTTAGGGTTTTCTTTTTTGTCGTGCACTCATATTACGTGACTCCTAAGTTCAAAAATTGGCTATACGATACTTTTCGAGTTCCGTGAGAGCTTAGGATGCCTTATACATCGAACTGTCTTAATAATTAACTTTTCTTATTTAGCTTAAGCAACAAGTTTGTATATATTGTCAAAGCTAACTTGCTAATTAAGGACTGCTACATGCAGAAGAAATTAAAGACATTAATTAGGTCAACCAAAATTAATTTAAATAAACAAGGTTGAAGTTGTCAACTGCTAAAATTATACATTGGTTTTTTGCCATACTACTTCTTTTTTTTTTTTAAATAATAATAATTGCACTTGATTTAATTTAATTACAGTTCCTTGAATCTTAATAGTGCAATTGGTTAATTAATTGTTAAATTATATATGTGTAATTGTGAATTTATGAAAACATACTTCAACTATCGATTGTTTCATTTTCCTATATAAACGATAGTGTGATTATATTTCAGCAGATAGGAAACTTACATGCCTGATAGTTGAGTCATCTTTGATAAATAACTGGTGTCATTATTTAAATGATAAACTCGCATACACCTAATAGTTCAAATATGAAAATAACCATCAACTCTTTTTTTTTAAAAAACTTCAATTAAATATTATCTAAATGAGCAAATTTTGGAAATAACATAAGGGAGCCTGTCAAAATTAAACTTGTGAAATTATTTCATTTTCTATAGTACTTTAACAGCCATTCCTCAAATCATACATTTAATTCGAAAACATGATTTGACCTTATATGTGTTTTTTTTATTCTATAGTCTAGAAAAAGAAAGTCAAGGAAATTAAGATAAGAAGAGTGCATTTTTTTTGTTAAAGAATTGTTTTTCATTTATAAAGTCACCTAATCTATGGACATAGCAAAGAAGCATGGGAATTTTTTTTCATATTATAAAAAAAAAAAAAAGTCAAACCTTTGAGAGGGGTTGACAAAACAAGAAGTATTTGATTTTGATATTTTAGAATTTTATTTAAATAAGTAAAACTTAATTAAATCCCAAAGTCAACTAATTTAGAAAAATGTGATGATGATGAACAAGTTATAATAAGTAGGAACATCATGATTCATGACAATCCTACAATAGGGGCTACAAATTTGTTTTTTTTATTTTATGTATAAAATAAAATATATGAATATATATTTAGAGTACATTGATATATATGCATAGTAAATATATTCAACTGGTCACTCTTCAATAATTATAACTTATCGTTGTCTAAGTTAGAAGAAGTTCTATTTAAAAGGTTTGAATCGAAATTCATATAGAAATATTATAACTTAACTCGTAGTCTTACTTTCATTTTTATCTTACTTACTACTATATTGGCAATATTGAACGATATCTGGACGCGTTAGTAATTTTCTTATTACTTTCTCTCGTTCACTTCAATGTTTGTAATTATTTACACCATTGAAATTTGAAAGGCATATATTACACAATATCGTAGATAATTGATATTTATAAGTTCGATCGCGAAGCATCTCGTATTCACAAAGAATTCTAAGAGGGGAAGGTATGCAAATGTAGACAATATATCCTCACATAAGCATTGATAATTGATTCTAGCTACAGGTTCAATTCGAGAAAAGGTCGCATCCTAAAGGGATGTAATGTAGGCAACCTATCCTCACGTCATCAAGCATCAGTATGATTTATTCCAAGGGTTCAATTCAAGGAAGGATCACATCCGACCAAGGAATATAATATTGGCAACTTATCCCACGAAAGCATCAGTTGTTAATTTCACTGTTCGAACTCATGATTTTTATGAATCACACGGAGACATATATCGCTACCTTAAGGTTCCTCTTCTTCCATTTGCTCTGATGTAATAGTATTTTTTACAAAAATAGAAAAGGGATAAATATACCTCTCAACTTTGTGATTTAGAACAAATGCACTCATTCATTAAAAAAGTAATGCATATATAATTATTGTCTAACAAACGGCGCTTTCTAATAAACTTGAGTATTTCCTTTACACAAACAATTACTGCCAAAAGCATCAAACTAATAAATCACACACAAAACATAAACTTATGGCCATTAAAACAAAAAAACATTACATGATTAAAAAAATAATGAACACTCACTTAAAACAACAAATTAATATAGAATAAGTCCAACCAATGTCACTACATGATATTCCAAAAAGTGAATTTTTTTTTTTATAAAATTAAACAACTATATGCATGTATGCTCTTGATCTTGAAATAATTTTGGTAAAAACAATAAAAATACAATACATCAATTGAGGGTCATGATAAATCAGAAACAAGAAGTGCATCCCAAATCATATCCATATCCAAAGAAGGCATTCTACTCAATTGAACACCATCAACATTTTCTTGATTAATATTCTTCACCTTAGTAATCTCCATTAATTTCTCACAATTAATTTCCTTTTCTTGATTCTGAATGATCGTGTTCTTGATTGTTGCATTATCATCCGATAGCCCTTTTGGAGATATAATAATTTCATCGCGATCACTAATATTATTAGCCTTCTTTGATTGTGCTGAAATTGCTCGAATTTTCGCCTCAAGGAGTGATGTTATGTTCCCATTGATAGAATTAGCCTTTAATTGATTCTTCAAATGTGGAAAATTCAAGTGTGCATAATCACCTCTTAGCATATAAGCCGCGGTATCATAAGCAAAAGCAGCTTCTTCAGCAGTATCAAATGTACCTAACCAAACCCTTGTCCTATTTCTTGGTAGCCTTATTTCCGCCACCCATTTTCCCCAATGCCTTTGTCTTACTCCTCGAAAAAGCTTTCCTTGGGACGCGATCATAGAAGAAGGAGAAGAAGAAGATGAAGATGACTTTTCATACTGAATAAGTGATGATTTTCTTGATGATCCTTTGAATTTCATTGGTTGAGTTTTTGTAGTGCTAAGCCAATAGTCACTAAAACCTTTTGTGGTGGTACAATTTGTTATGGTTTGATTCATTTTCAGCCAATTTGTTGGATTTGTAGTTGCAGCCTCTTGATAATGAATTTGGCTCTCATGACCTATTGATGAAGACATAGGGAATAACGCCGCGGATGATGACCTGGCAAAACACAAAAAAGGAAAATATCTTTCAGAGGTTGAAGATATATCGTAATATCACAATACTATATAATTTCTTCTTTTGTCAATATATTGGGATCCGTGCATCCCAGATAGTGGCATAGCTACCTATTGATCAGAAGGGGTGCAACTGAATCCCCTTCGCTAAAAAAAGAACTATATCAATATTTGAATCCTATTGATAAGTGAATGATGTTACATTCTAACATGTTTTGAATGTTGTTGATAGAATTACTGATTCCACTAATGATCCTTAGAAAGTCTAAATATGTACTACTAGTAAACTCAATTTGATAAAGAGAAAATTAGTGAACAAAATGGCAAATAAAGAAAGAAGGATTTAGTATCATACTTGTGATTCTTGTTGCTTAGAGATTCAGCTGCCATTTTTGAAATCTCTAAAATGGTAGGTTCTTGCAAAAACAACCCTAAAGTTGGGTAATTACTTGATAGTGAATTTGTTGAAGAACATGTTTGATGATCAAGAACTTGAGGATGATGATGAAAAGATTCAAGAAAATTATTTAAAGGAATAATATTGTTATTATTCCCTTGATCTTGATGATGTTGATAATTTGAAGAAGTCGATAATGATGATGATGATGATAATGACGATTCATTTTGATGGAAATTAAGTGGAAGAAATTGAGAAAATTTTGTTGAAGAAGAATTTATAGAAGTACTTTCATGATTTAAATCACTAAAAATGTGTGGATCCTTGAAAAATCTAGATAATGATTCTATGGCTACTTG